GATACCACACAAATTCAGACATCCTTTTTGGGACATTTCAAGTATTTTAGACATGTAGTCATAAGGCGGTTATTTTTTTCCAATTTATTTATTTTCATTTCCATTATTTAATACATTGGATTTTCTAAGTATGTGAGGGGAAAGAAAGCCTTGGATCATAATGACATAATGTTAATCATATTAACAATTTCAGAGTAAACAATACTTTTTTAAAATGCAGCTTTATGTTTGACATTATTAAGGAAAATGTGTTTGCATCCACCTTTTCTTTGTGCTTTTTTTAAAAAATTATGCATACTAACAGTTAGGTCATGTCTCAGATATATGGACATGCACAACTGAAAGGAGACTCCTGCAGCTGAGCCTTCCCTCTGATTTCCTTGGGATTTTAGGTCCAGGTGTAAAGAAGTAAGCAGGTGTTGGAAGGACTTTATCTTCACTAATATGCCAGCTAGCACACCTGAACAGGATGTCTGTAGTCTGCTACTCATAAGGGCCATGAGCTTCTTTCTTACCTTTTGCTAGGCTAAAAAATTCTGATATCTGCATTTTCCATGTGCTTCTCATCATTATATATCATTATTTACTGAGAATAGAGTTGGAATACCGAAGTCTGTCCTGAAGGAAAAACAGCACCTAGTTGAACAGAAAAAAATTATATAAAAATATACATACTCAAGAATTAAACAGAATTAAAACCATCCCAGCAGAAATTCTTAACTTCTATGTAGTTTGCTTTCACCAAAGCTGTAATTAAATACCTAAATAACAGCTTCTTGCTGTTAAGTAATGTAACTTAATGATTAAAAAGCTTTCTTATCCTACTTTAACCACAGATATCAATCATCAAAGAAATTACTCAAGTGAGCTACCATCATATATGTATAGCAAGATGATAACTCTTTGCTTCTGATGATCAAAACCCAGGCAACTACTTGGATCACTAGTTGCCAATATGGGAAAAAAAGTAGTTAACAGTGTTCCTTCTTCCTTGTCTCACAAAATCTTCCTAAAAAAAAAAAATTAAATCTTTAATCTGAAAAACATTTCTTCAAAATAAACTAATAATATAGAAAGTGTACAATATGAGATGAAGTCCTTTATTGAGTGGGTTTGATAACAAAGCCATAACTGATTTTTATATATCAATATGTTAAAGTAAACAAAACAGTGCAATTAGTAAGATATGTTTATTATTATTTTTTTAAACAAATAAACAGTAAATGGCAAACCGTGTCATGAGACCAAGAAAAATACTGCAAAATAAGGGAAACTTAGTTGCTAGAATATCAAATCTGGCCTGATCATCAGTCTTGGCCAGATTGGCAATTGTGTCTGTGAATGAATTTTTTATTCTACAAATGTACTCCTGTCCTGTAAACTACATTTCCTTTGCAATATCTGAGAAAGTCATATTATCATTTTCAGTAGTGACCATAATTAATTTATAATGCAATATTGCATGTAACATTGTCAGAGTAAAATCCACATTTTTTCTTCTATATCATACATGATTAAAATTTTATGTATATCATTTGGCTATCATTTTTGTTGCATAGTATATTCCCAATCTTGATTAGAACTAAGAAGTTTATATTAAACTCTGAAAGGTTATTGAAAAGACACCACAATATTCCTCTAGCTGTAAGACTACTCTGAGAAGGACACACATGCAGGTAATATTGGAGCTGAGGGGTTTTATGATGCATATGCCATATTAGCCACAGAACCAAGAGCCCAAATTACACCCTACTTAGGATTTTTCCCCTACTTCCCCTGCTTCCCTCAGCTGCAGGATGACACAAGATCTGCAATGGTAAATCTATGCTTCTTGGGAATTCCTTTGCTTCTCTCATGGGAATTTTGCCAGGTTGATTAAATCATCCATAGCTCGGTAAAAAAGTACAAAAATTGCCAATAATGGGCATGAACCTTCATCTATATTTGATACATATTTTCAATTCAATTATTTCCCTTGATATAAATAGAACTTGTGTTAATAGTACCTGTCACTCCTTTATAGCTTTCTGCATAACAAGAAAGATCCACAGGAATAATAGGTGCCCTTTTGCATATTCATATGATCACCCTAAATGTTAGACACATAGTCAAAGAAAATCACACCAAAAAGGAATAAAGCTTCTAAATATGAGATAGATTCTGGCTGGCCCAGAAGAGTTGCATTACACGAGGGACCGATCATAAATGGAGGACTTCATAAGAAGTGTAGCATTGAGATGTACTAAGTATAACAGTTTTAACTCAGTATTTCCATTCCTTATTTACTTTATACCTAAACCCAAATACTTACTTTATGTCAACAAGTCAAAATTACCAGCATCTCTGAGCAAATTGGTAATCATGCATTTACTGTTTTGCTGGCATAAGTGTCATGCAACAAATTGCAGTTACCCTTTTCTTCTGGTTCTGCTCATTACTCCATCTCCTTCATGGACTTAGGATAACATTCTGTGGAGCTTCTGTCAGTGATAATTTCAACAGGCTACAAATATATATTTTTAATGAGGTTTTGTGGGGTTTTTTTAAACTGCATCAGTTAGAAAAGAGAGAAAGAACATATTTAATCACTGAATTTTCATCTGCTGCATATTCAAACACAGTGCTGTTATGCGAGAAATTGAAGTGTATCGCTGAAAAAAATGAACAATAAAATCTAAAAAGTGTCCATATTAGACTGACTCTGCTCCTGCCATGTCAATCATTGCCTTATTGTTGAATCCACTTAAAATACTTTCTTTATTTCAGTACTAAAATTTTCAGTAATGCTGAAAAAATTTTGCAAAATACGTAGTGTATTTATGGCTCAGCTACTGTATGATTAGAATTTTGTATTTGTGCAAGTGACTTGAAGAACAGAATGAGCCCCCTTAAACCTGCTGGATTGCCCATGGTTTATACTAATTTAAATATAGTTATAATTGTAACAGATGTTCTGTTTAAGACTAAACTGGTGTCTGTGATTGTCTACCTTTTATAATTAGAACTTGTCTAATTCTTATGCATTGGACACCATCTGTAAGGATTTAGTTCTAACTGGACATATTCTGCATCCAGTGCTTTTCAGCACAGGCTGAATTCAATTTATTAAATCTTATTCTCAGGATGACTAATACCATTCTTTTGTTTTAAAATATGTCAATTTCTCTTAAGCTATCAATCTGTAATATTTAATCAGCACAGATAAATGCATTTCATTTGGCCTTAACTGTGTGTCACAATAAGAGAAGAGACAGGAACGCTAATAAACTGAATTGTTTAAGTTATCCAGAAGATAATGCTTCCGAATTAGAATATGTAACTATATTTTTCAAAGTGGATGTTGATTTAGCCTATAGCCCTCTGAAAGACACAATTTGTGAAGGAAAGCTAATAAACCGCTTTAGTGGCTTGAAGAATTGGTGATTTTCTCTCAGTTGTTTCCCTCAGTTGCTGTTTGTTTCATTTATTACAGGATTCTGTTTCTAAGACAATAGTGTGTAGGGGTTACGTCTGGTGTGTTCAAAAACTAGTGGCACAAAATGCTGAGGTGGCCTGGGGTGAACTGCACTCTGAGAGCAGGCTTGGGATAACAAATTGCTTTTGCATGAGGGCCCTGGCATATAGAATCACTTATATAGGTGTGTTGTCAAGGCAGAGGAGGTGAAACAAGGGTGGTCACAGGGACTGGAAATTATTATTCCCCCACCTTGTTTCTTCCCCCCTTCATTTTTCCTTTTTTTCAAGCCATTTAGTGACCTGAGGTGAAATGGACAGGAATTGACAGCACACAGGCTGCTGCTGGCAGCAGAGTCACTGCAGTTGCTCCTTGGACATGGAAGGAGGAGGAAAAAAGAAGAAAGAAACCTAGTTGTTTTCTAAACATAATACATGTAAAGATAACATGTTTACTTTAGTGTAAACCAACCCCCTTTTCCCGTAGAAATTATTCTCTCCCCACCCCCACCCCCCCCCGGCAGTTCAGGAAAAAGGGGAGATGATTTTTTCTCTCTTCCTCTCCTTCTTCTTGCTCGCACAAAGAAAACGTGGGTTGATACCATTTTTATTGTTCTGCTGGGGTGGGTTTCAGACCTTGTATTAGCATATTGAATGTCTAATTGAATTCGGGGGCTGTGTTAATCATCTTGTTTTGTTTAAGGGTGGTTGGTGAAAGGTGCCAAAAAATGATTGCTTTGGCTTGGGGTTAGAGTGGTGCTGCCACCCCAAGAAAAAGAATCGAGAAGGGGGAGGGAGCTGGGGAAAGGCGAGTTGACTGAGTGATGTCTGGAGGGCGAACTCGTGTGTCTCTTTGGTGATGTGTGCTGCTGTACTGAAATCCACCCCTCTGCTGGAGCTAAGGCAAGAGTTGGAGGCATCTGATGCTGCCGTTTCCAGGGTGAAATTTCTAAGGCTGGTCGCTAAAAACAACAACCAAAAAAAAACCCCAAATCCTCAGCAAAAATAGCAGTCAGAACAGAAGATCCAGCATCTCGCGGTCCAACTGACATAACCCAGACAGACGTTTGAGAACCACATGGTTTTAACCTAGCCACACACACCGGGGAAGGAGGGGGGGGGAAGGGACTAAAAAAGACACTGCAACTACCGAACATCACATTTCTTACAAAAGGGCCAGGAACAGAGCCGGTAGGAAAAGGGAAAAAAAAAAAAAGAGAGAGAGAGGAAAAGCCTCCCCCTCTTCCCCCATGAGTTTTTCGCAGTGCTCTGGTGAGGCTCGGAGGTGGCTGGCAGCGCAGGGGGCGGCTGCTGGCGCGGCTGGCGGGGCTCGGCGCAGCGCAGCGCGCCCGGCGCTCAGCACCGCGGGGCCGGACAGCTCCGCGCCCCGCCCGGCCCGGCGCTGCCCCACAACAAGTACCGCGCCGCTGTCCGGAACTCCGCCGCTCGCTCCCCGCGCCTGAACTGCATTGTCTCCTCACCGAATCGGCCGTCAGGCGTAATTACCCCCGTTTCCCCCCACCCCCTCCTCTCTCTCTCCTTTGCAGGAACGACTCTTTGGGAACCTGGTCCACCCAGGGATGTAAAACTGTGCTTACCGATGCATCCCATACGAAATGCTTATGTGATCGTCTCTCTACCTTCGCCATTTTGGCTCAGCAACCTAGAGAAATAGTAAGTAACAAAGGGGGGAAAAAACCCCAGTTTTAATGCAAAAGGCAATGCGGGGGGGGGGGGGGGGGGGGGGGGGGGGGGGGGGGGGGGGGGGGGGGGAGCTGGTCCATCTTTCCTCTCAGGTATATTGCAGACGTTGCACTGAGGAATTGTTTAATATTGCAGGTAGGCAAATGTTAGTCTCCTGGTGTCTACACTGTCTCAGATAAATGAATTCCAGATTCTGTGATATAACTAATTCCTCATGAAATTTGCATGCTCTCGAACTCCATAAATATTTCAGAGAAAGCCTTATAATTGTGGTGAAAATGTGTAGAAAACTTTTGTATTGAACAATTAAGGGAATGTACAAGGCTTTATTATTGCTCTTGGTAGGAAAACCTTAGATACTGTAGTTAAACAGATTGCAGATCTGCATTGGACATTTTCAGCATAGATTTTCTATGTAGTCTGTTTATATGATGTAAGAAAAATAATCAAGTTTTCATGAGAAAGAGGGGACATTAAGTGTATAAGCAGACACTCCCAGTATTACTGAAAGTAAAAATAGCTAAAAAGAAAATATTTGTGAAGTTATCCTGCCTAGGCATAATTTAATTTTCCTGGTTTTGGAAGCGTATAATCAGAATCTTTTTAATAGCAAAGTAAATCAGTTTGGAACAAAGTGGTTGAAATAAAATACTACTTACTGCCTGAGATCTGGCCTAAAAGTGCATCTGTCTTATCTCCTTTTTGGGTGACAAAAGATATCTTGATAAATGTAATTTACAGTTCATCCCCAAAGCTTTAAAAAGCATTTTGGTAAACCAGGCACGATATCCTTTCAAACTTTTAGATCTAAATTTTTTCCATATGTATTAGCAAAACCCATGTCTATTTCAGGACATGAGCACATAAACCTACACAGTAAAAACCTGATCTGATATCTGAGGATAATAGTTTCTTTTTTAGAAGGGAAAGCTATTTTGTTTTCAAGGTCATTCATTTTTTTTTTTCATTTTGTATTAGTACACAGAGTACAAATGAAATAATTCTGATTTTGAGGCTTTTTTTAATGGAAGACTTATGATACTGTTGCCATAGATATCATGCCATTTCTTCTAGGCAATCAGGAGCCCAAGGAAATTAAGCATGTGAGAATAGTGGATTGAAGTCAAAGTTATTAAAAGTCAGAAAGTTTGGTAATTCTGCAACAAGCATGAATCAAATTCTGGGACAAATTACTGGATGATCTTTAATATATTACAGTGAAACCAAGCTGTTTGTTTAATGCACAATCCTAAATATTGCTACTTCTCAAGAGAAATGTATCTTTTAATTAATGTCTACTGGGGAGTCATTTAAACTTGTACTACTGCCATAGTCTCCTGTTACATTGTAATATTACTATTTCATTTTTTAAAGTATCATGCAGGTATTACAAGGCATTTTAAAGCTCAAAGGCCTCTGAGGAATGTATTAAGCAGATCTCAGAGTTATGTATGGATCAGTTTTGGAACTAAGTTGATTTCTGCTTCATAAGTAGTATTACTGAAACTGTCTGCGACAATGTGGTTGCTTTTTTTCTTTTAACTTGTTGTTTTAATTGCTGGAGGATGTTTTTTCTTCATGGTTGTCTGTTGTAACCTACAGATCATGGAATCATCTGGTACACCATCAGTGACCTTAATAGTAGGCAGTGGTCTTTCATGCTTGGCTTTGATCACCCTAGCAGTTGTCTATGCAGCATTATGGAGGTATGTGATGGATTAAGAAAGCTAAATGTAAATACATAGTTATATTTAGTTGAATTGAAATTTAGAGAGAGCATTAGATGCAACATTTATTGTTTAGAACATTAAAAAAAATAAAAGCAAAATGTAATGCATGTTTCGATGCCTGAATTTATTGATGTGATTGATCAGTTTTACTGTCTTGGCCTACTGGTGATGTATAGCCCGTTCTTCTCTTTCCCCTCTTCAGTGTGAATGGTATTGCTCTTTTGGTGGAGTATTCATAGATAAATAACAACAGGATTCTTATGTATGATATATTTCATGTGAGGCTTCTGGCCTGTACCTTTAACTGCTTTTTCTCCATTTACATTTTTAAACAAAACTTATAAGTGATAAAATAAACATCAAAGTGGCACATCAGGTATTGAAGATTTATGGAGGTTTAGTCAACTGGTTTTGAATTTAATCAGATCAGTTATAAGTTTGAATAATGACCACAAAATTAAAAAATCTTAAATAGTGAGGTGGTACATTCCAGTAATATTTCGATCCTGATTTTACAATATTAAAATATTATATTGATTTAAAAGTGCAATAAATATTTATGGAGTAAATTAATTTGAGAAGTCAGGAGAAATAGCATGATGTCTTAGTGCAGAAGAAACACAAAATTAAGTTGAAAAGTCATGCAAGTGAACATGGATTCTCATTTAACTTTCTTTCAATAATAATAATAAAAAGGTTCTTATGCAAGTAATAGGGAACATGGGGATAAAATAATAATTTTTAGAGTAATGTAAAATCAACCAGTAGAATTCTGCTTGATAATTTTACACCCTTTTCTCTTACACTTTCTTGTGTACCACAGAGACTCATAGGATTAGACATATATATATTAAATAAGAATATCTAGTTACATAAGTCATGATGGAAAGAGTATAAAAAATATCAGCTCTTATCTGTCAAAACTACGAATGAGAATATTTCAGGATATAATTCCCATCTGAAGAACTATAGTGTTATTTTTGCCCTCCCTGATATATTTAGCACTTGGATAGAAATACTGTCATGCTCAGTGGAACTGATCTTCTCCATTATTTAAATTAGACATAAGGAAGAAATCTTTTACTTTGAGGGTAGTGAGGCATTGAAATAGGTTGCCCAGAGAAGCTGTGGATGCCCCATTCCTTGAAGTGTTCAAGGCCAGGTTGGATGGAGCTTTGAGCAACCTGGTTTGATGGAATATGTCCCTGCCCATGACAACAGGTTGTAACTAGATAATTTTAAGTTCCCTTCCAACCCAAGCCTTTCTATGATTCTATGATTCCATTAACTTCTAAGCAGGGATAAAATGTTATGTGTTATGGATTTAATGTGGATTCTGCATCCAAGTTAAGACGGGATAGCTCATATAGATCTCAGTGTTCTATCAGGGAGATATTTTTAAAGAATTATGACAGCTGAGTGGCATGTCATTTGAATCATTAAAATATGTCTGCAATGTGTTTCTTCAGAGCACATAGTAAACAACCATAGGGAGAAGATAGACACTGAGACTTATATGTACATATACTTGTTTTTATAAATCTAGGGGTAGGGAGAAATCTAATGTTTTGACCCTATGTCTGCATTTATATTTTGGAACACCCACCTTCCCTTTGAATGGCAGGACCTCTTTAGAAGTGATATGAGTTAGATGTATTCTGATCCATAAAAGGCCTGTATGAGCATTCTTTTATGGTTCATTGATTTGATCCCCCAACTGAAAATTCAAACTGAAAAATAAATTCAGTATCAATCAAATATTCATCTGTCCTTTTCCTTTCCCTTCCCTTTTTCTTTTCCTTCCCTTTTCCCTTTCCTTCCCTTCCCTTCCCTTTTCCCTTCCCTTCCCTTCCCTTCCCTTCCCTTCCCTTCCCTTCCCTTCCCTTCCCAAACCTTCCCAAACCTTCCCAAACCTTCCCTTCCCAAACCTTCCCAAACCTTCCCAAACCTTCTCTCAATAGTGGACTGGCAGAAAAACCAAAACCTTCATAACTTAATTCAGTGCTGAAAGCTCCCGCTTGCACTGTATTTACTCAAATACTAAGGTCCTTTGTAGTCTATGGATACTCAGTGTTGGGAACTGATAGTTAACAAGTTAGAAAGTTGCAGCATGCTGTCTATGTGAACAAAGGCATTAGACTTTCTGTATTTGTTTGCCAACACATAGAACTAGCCTTAAGAATGTTGCTATATTTTAAGAAAAGATGTGGATTGTGGTATCAGGGTTGTTATGTATTTAACTAAAAAAGTGTAATCACTTGTATCACTTGATATATCAGCAAAAAGGACTACAATTAATTTCACGTCCAAAACTCAGCCTTTCTTGTGGGCTCAGCAGCCTTTTCTGTGACTAGAGTATCAACTACAGGTGTACAGCTCAGGAGGAGACAGCAATATTAACTGAACTCCAGTGAGCAGCATATAGAATAGGTCATAGAATATATAAAGATATGGCATGGTCTTCAGGGGAACTGAGCCCGCTTAACTTTCATTTATTTTAGTAGTCAACATTTACTGTTAATAGCTCTAAAAATCAGGTCAGAAAGCTACTTCATTTGAAACCGTGGTCATTCTCATTCTGTTCTGGAGCATATAAAAGGCTGTATACAGAAAAAGGCATTTTTAAGGAAATATGTGATAAGAGTTTAAGACTTTTTCATCCTAAACATACATGTAAAATGAATATGATAAGTTTACAAGAGAGACTGTGATGCTTTCTGCTATAATTTAATCTTTCTGTACAGACATAGCTATTTTTTTGGCATTCAGTCTTATGAAGATATTACAGTACTATTGTTTCTCCCCAAAAATTATTTTATGAATCTCTTGGAACATCAAGAGCAATGTTATTGTTATCTCAATAGTGTGTTTCAAAATGCACTGCCATAGTATCATCAACAAACCTTCACCTTATTTATGCATCGTGGACCAAATCTTCTGTTTATGTAAATCACCATATTTTTGCTGAAGATAGTAATTATGAGTGGTCTATGCCAGCTGTGGATATTCCCAGGGATGAGCAGAGAGCATAAAACATTCCTTATATGAATGCATGCAAGCCCGTTACTTATCAGTATGGTGTTAGAACAGTGTTGCCAGCAATTTCTAAAAGAATCGTTACATTACAACCAATGGTTGTAATGTGATAGGTCTCTGATACTTTCTGAGCACTTGAAAGAGAGGCACTTCTCTTTCATAGCATCTTCAATATTTAATGTAAGAACTGCATCAAAGTTTTGTATAACTTACTAGTTGTTTTCCTTTTAGAAAAGTTGTACCCTCTCTTTGTTTATTTAAACAGGTACATCAGATCTGAGAGGTCAATAATTCTAATCAATTTCTGCCTGTCTATTATCTCATCAAATATCCTTATCCTGGTTGGACAAACTCAGACACATAACAAGGTATGATGATGCATTGTATTGAATTTGCATTTAAAGATTGATATCTTTGTTTTATTTGTGTTTAGCTTAAAATAATTACATACATTTAGTCCTATACTCATAGGACTCGGTGGTTTTGGTAAAATATTAACAGACAAGGGAAAATATTTACTGTCTTTCATAGTCTTTTTTTCCCTTCCAAAAATCCCTTTTGGTATTGTTCCCTCTGGATAAGCTGTGTTCTCTGTGGTAGACTTGTGTTTTATAACTAAATTTCAAAGCAAAAAAGTTCAAAGACTCAACATCAAAAGCACAAATTCTGGTTCATTATAATAGTTGTAATAGGATTGTGCTACAGTGTTTTTGTCTTTTTATTAATACACTGGTACTCGAAAGGCAAGTAGGAATTGCTTAGAAATTAGACCATGTTTCTCGAAAATGTGCAGAAACAGACATCATGACAAGCCATGGAACTGTTAGATCTCTGACTGGTGTAGCTATAAGAAAGTAATAAACCTGCATACCTTACTGATATATTGCTGATTTATTGCTAATCTGTTCTCTGAACATAGTTGTCATTTGTCCCTGTTCTGTAGAGCAGGATTGCCAGTGTTTTGAGGAATCACTCAATGCGTAGTGATGATGGGCAACTTTCAGAAGCGACAATAAACGGTTGCTTAAAAGTAACTATAACTACAGGATTGTTTGGAATAGAAAATAATATGTAATTGGTTAATTGGACAATATGTGATAGAATGCTGTTAAGTTTTGGAGTAAGCAAGTTTTTGTAAAGTTGTTTTTTTCCCACTGTGTTAAACTACTTAATGCACTGCTTATCTTAATTTTTCCCAATATTGAATGAAACATATTCATCCTCTGCTATAGGATAACTGGTTTTTCTACAACACACCTGTAATTAATAATTTTTTCTTTTTAAATAACTGCTTAGAAGTTTAGCTGCCAAAAGTCTCATAAATTCAGTGCAAGTTACATAGCTGTACTTTGTAAAACATCCCCAAACCAAACATATTTATTTCCAACACATAATTTGACAAAATTATTGAAATTAAGATATCAATATGCTTTTAAAGTTTTGAAAGTATGTAGAGTGTCACGTGAAAAGAGACAGGAAAGAAGAATTTTCTGTCCAACCTGTATTAATTTATATTTTGTCTATCAGTGTCCTCCTTTCAGGAGATCAAAGCCTTTTAATGTCCAAAAAATTCTGTCAGTGTCTCACATAATGAGACCCTTCACTTATAAGATTCGCTGAGATGGACAGGACATTTGGTACCTTTTTATATAAGGACTGCACCGAAGAGCGGTAGAAAAACCCCTCAGCAGGTTTCTCCTATGAGTTATTTCACCATCGACTAAACTGTCAGCACCTAAAAATGGACTCACTGTAACAGTTCATGAAATAACATGTTTATTAATGCAAATTTGTGACAATTTATCGGGTTTGCTGTGTCTGGAATAGGGTCTAACTGCAAAAAACCCCCACACCTAAACTATGTAGTAATAATAATAATAATAATAATAATAATAATAATGCAAAGCATAGGCACACACGCTAAACAAAAGCAACTTACAAATAAGTAAGGCAACTTACAAAGAATAGGTAAAGCAAAAACTTAAGCACCCTCCCAAAAGCAAAAGAACTAACAAAGAATAAGTAAAAATTTTAAAATGCTATGGAGCAAAAGTAAAATTAGTATATATGTATAAAGCAATCACTCACCCCACAGTGTCCCGAGAAGGTGCAGGGAGAAAAGGCAGCCTGTTGGTTACCTCCACAGAGTTGCTGGAACTTCTCCCCGATTTTTGCTTATGTCCAGTCTCTTTTTATACCTTATTCTGTAGGCAGTTTGAGTGTCTATAGTCAATAAACTAATTTTGGGGTAATAGATGAAATAGGCCCAAGGATCCACTTCCTGAGTTCTGGCAGCGAGGATGTTCAGAAAAAAGGCCATGTTATGTCCATATCCCTCCTTTCTTCATCTTAATCCTTTTATCAGTTTCTGGGAATGTCTCCCCAGGTGCAGGGGTTTTTATAGGAAACCATCAGGAACCTTTTTCTTTCTTTTGTGTGGCCTTATCTATCACCTTACAGTAGCGGTGCAAATGAACAAAATATGGATTTGTAGAAGAAACCCATGTAACTCTCACAGATTTTATTCAGGGGAAAAATAGTCAGAAATGTGCTAGCAACTTCAGCATACCAGCATGCTGAAGATTAACCCTCCCTGGAATTTCAGCACTGACACGCACAGTCATATATACTATTTTATTATGTATTTCAAGAAAAGATATGGTTCAGTAGCTGAAGGTTCCTGTGTATATTGCCACTGTAGAATCAGAGTTTGAGGGTAGCAGAACAACTGTTTTGGGTAACACACTCCCTAGATATGCTGTCAGCCTTTCTCTGATGCTTGACTCAAGGAACTTTGAACCAAAATATGCTCTTAATCCAGTTCCTTCTATTAATCTTAATTTATTTGAGCTCTCTCACTTCTGCTCACTTCCGAACTCCTGAAAGCGCAGAGATATTGCACTGACACATTTCTGAGGCCAGCAGATCCTAAAAATGCAGATTTTCAAAGGAAATAATTGACAAAAAAAAAACCAAACACATCACAAAGTTTAGATTTTTAATATACAGCCTGAAAAATACCACTTTTTTCTACACTTGTCTTCTTTTTGAGTCCACATCTTGCTTTTGATACATCTACCACCCAGGACCTTCTAGCCAGGGAGCACCTATAATGGATCAAGGCCAGAATACATTTTTTATATCAAGGAAGACATTCCTTGTAACAGACCAAAAATATTTTTATCAGTGTCCACTGATATGTGAATATATTGTAGCTCCAAGAGGCTGGCCTGTGAATTCACCATCAACAAAATAGCCAGCTAAAGCCACTGTTTAGAGAAAACTTACTCAAATGAAAGCAATCAGTTCCGGGTATGACTTCATTGTGTTTGTAAGTAGGGATATGTTTAGGCATTAGATGTGTTTGAATTCAAGTTCTGAATTTTTTATTTTCAAGATCATATGTCACCCAAAGAAGCCAGTGTTTGATTTTTAGTCCATAGTTCTAGATTGCAATACTGACATCTGTAAGAAAAATTATGTTTTCATTTTGCTGAGTTGGAAAATTAAATCTGTACATGGAAACTTTAGAAAGAAAATCAGGTCATGACGTGTGGTTTAAGATTAAAAACATTTTAGGTTTTTTTCTGAGACTTTTTTATTTACTAGAAGTCAAACCATGTGGGTTTTTAGTGTTTGTTTGAAAATTTTGGAAGAAATTTTGGAAATATTTTATTAAGACAATGTAATATTCAAGTTATCAAAAATTGTTTGCTGAATAAAGGCTAAAGTAATTTTTTATGGCGAGAAGATGAGCTCTTTTTTTTAAAATGTATTAGAGAATATTTGATATATATGATATGCCAAGTTTGAGTTTGTCTATTCTGTTCCATTCGCATTCTTATGTTCATACTATTCTCAGACTATTGGGGCACTTAGTTAATGTCCACACGATGCTGTAAATATTCACAATACTGAAGCATATCCTTTTTTTTCTGTGCTTTAGTTTGGCTCTGGGTTTAAATTGTCCCTAGCTCTCTATTTGAGAATATCAAAGATATATTTATAACGAACAGCATATTTTCGGTTTGTTTGCAGTTTGTGGTTTTCTTTGTCTGTATTAAATACTTCACCAACTACTTCTATTTTATATTGAAAGCTCAATATATCATTCGTGTTTCCACAAAAGCTTCTTTTAGTGAAGGCTAAGTGAGTTTGAATATGGCATTCCCTTTGGTTCAACTAAGTTCTGGCTTTTTTCAGCAAAAAAAACCACCTCCCATGGATAAAAATGGACAAAACATCTACCAAGGATATGTAGAAGGAATTAACACTTTCAAACAACCATAATTTTTCCATTTCTAGTATTCCCTTTTTAAAAGTTGCTTTTTTTCTCCAGTTTCAATAACTTGAGGATACCAACAGTAGACCAGATATCTAGGTCATGGGGCTTTTTAGCTTGTTTTGGAGTAGTTCATGATGGCAGTCATGGAGGGAAGTAGAATTATTCTTGGAAGATTTGGATTGGGATAGCAAAAAAGTCTTTTGCAAACAGAAAAGCTTTGGTCCTTTATTCCTTATTAGCCAAACATGTTGTGCATTTTATTGAAGGACACAGCTGAGAAATGTTCTGATTTTTTCATTATGTTTTCCCAAACCTTTCAAAACACAGAACTTTATTCAAAGTTTTCTTAATGCTTCAGATTGTGTAAGAGATTTCATTTTTTTTCAGATCCTGTTTTGAAATACAGGTCACTGAAGGCTGAAATTACAAAAATATTATGAAAATAATTATGTATCTTGTTTAAATTTAGTTGGTGTTATACTGTACATGAGAAGCATATTAATTTACTTTAGTATTTCTTTCTGTGTCTTTTTTTCTTTCCAGTGTTAAATGTTAGCCACATAATTGCTTTTAAATTTGAGGATATGCAATTCCTACTACAACTGAATTTAGTTTTAATGCTAAAATTAAGTCTCCTTAATTAAGGAAGGGTAAAACTTCTCATTTATAACATAACTGCTCAAATATCTGTTATTTCACAAATGCTATGAGATGTTCCTGACATCTATAAAAGCATTACATATTTACTTGGAAGAGACTGAGGTTTTTTTGAGGAAATATCTATCAGTGATTTGTAGCATTCACTGTATTATAACTCTTGCTATTTTATGTTTCCTAATGTTCATATTGCCATCAAGAATTGTTGTATTTCTTCTATATGTGGACCTTTAATGCTTAAGCTATAAACTTTTACTATGCTTCTGATCCCATTTAATGAATAGATTCTCTACCCCCATAAGTTATTGATTAATATTGTGTGGATTTTTTCATAAACTCTCTCTCATTTTGCATACATCCAGAAAATACCCTGGTTTTTTCAGTTTTGCCTTAAACACATTAGCTGTTTGATATAAACAGTTCCAGTATATCTGTTTTTTTTTATGAAGAAAACAAAGATGAATACAATTTAAAGGAAACCATAGAATTCATTACACATATGGGAAAAAGTTAATTATTTTCTATATAATCTGTTTCTGACTGTACTTACTTATTGCTGAAGTTGAGGTCACTTGAGAGAAACAGTCATATTTTTAAAAATGCCATCAGACTCAGTACATTTTGTTAGCCATAGTCAGGTTTCTTGTGCCTATCAAGGAAAGAGCAGGGAAGATGTTAAGGCAAGGTTTAGTAACCCTGATATTCTGTGTCATCCCTCTTTAATTGCAATATTCAGTTTATTATTCTTGCTCTTATATTTTGAAATGCATCTCTTAGACCATACCTGAAAGGATATGAAAAAGGCATGTCCTGACCACCTAAAGCACATAACATAACCTTGATAAATACATTGTAAACAAGCAACAACCCCATAAAAATTTGTAGATAATAAGATTAGAATGTTCACTAAATAGACTGACTGGACAAAAATAAATCACTTCTAGTATTTTTTAATAGAGGTGTGAGGCTGAAAGAAGCAAATAGAAGTCGAAAGAAGCTTAGAATCCCCAGCGTCCCATTCCCATAGCACTCTGAAGTAGCTGACTGCGTAACTAGAGCTCCCTCAGGTTTTGAGAGGCAGTGGGTGGTGGGATCCCCTGAGAAATCTGCAAATGTTCAGGTGATACTAATGCTGCCTCTAACCATGTGGCTCTTGCCCCATATCTGCCACTGCCTTACAGATGCAGGCATCATGGCAATATATTTCCTAGGAAACAGCGGGGGAGACCTAAGAGCAGATGGAATGAACAGAGAAATGATGCTAACACAGCATTAAGGTTGTGTTAGAAAATCAATGAGGGAATTCAGTATATCAGGCAATAGCACTCCATATTTCAAGTCTTTCTGGAGAAGTTCAAGGGAATATCCTCCATTTAAGCAGCTGAAGCCCAGGAAAATATATCCTTCCATTTTTTGCCAGTATCCAACTTCCAAATTAACACCTACTCTGCTGATTGTCATCTTTTTCTTTGTGTAACAGCTTTTTGAGCAGCTGACCCAGAGAGTGTCTGATATGGGTCATTCATCCCAGAAACATACCAATAAATAGGTCAGCAGTGAGAGCGCACTGCACCACACACATCTGTCTGCTCTGTGTTTGGAAATTCAGAAACAATCAAAAGGAGAAGAACACACTTAACTGAATAACTATTACAGGAGTAGGTCTGTGTAAGCAATGCTGTTTTACCATGCTAAATTCTGACAAAACCTGTTAACGTCAGCTGAATTAACTACCTGGTTTTAGATTCTCAAAAGAACCTCTGGGAGCAGATCTTTCTTACCCAAGATCAGTAAACATGGTAATTCATGTTACTGTTACCTGCCTCAGAGAAGAAGGTAACATTCTTCTCAAAAGTGCCTGCCAGACCATGTCTCAGTGTATCAACATTATCATTCATTTTGCTATATCTAAACAAAATGGACATTTTCATTGTAAGTGGGTTACAGGGAAAAAACTGGTTAGATATTAGGAGCATGTTTTCTCTGCTTCCAATCCCCAGAACCTTTTAAAGCGCTTTGCGAGCTATTTTAGAATCGTGGAATTGTTCACGTTGGAAGATCTGTCCAACCTCATTCTCAAGGCAGGGTCAGCTGTTCAGTCAAAATGGGTGGTTCAGGGCTTTATATAGTCAAGTCTTGAAAACCTCTAGGTGTAGAAACTGCGCAGCTTCTTTGGGAAAATTGGTCCACTGCTTGACTGTCCTCATGGTCACAATGTGTTTCTATATATTTGATCTGGACCTCCTTTTGTTTCAGCTGATGCCCCTTGTTTTTTGTCATCTCACTACGCATCACTGTGAAGAACCTGGCTTCATCTTGTCAATGACCTCTCTATAGGCACTGATAGGTTGCTCTTAGATGCTGTTAGCTTACCCTTTCCTGAGGTAATCCTCTGCTGTCCTACTCTTCCCAAAATTGTGGAGGTTTTCCTCCTTGCTCTTCAGGAGTTGTTTAGAGTAGTTTTTTCTCTTCTAGAATTCACCCCCACAGCCCTAGGGGAAAATAGCTCATTCTCTCACAAACACCTGTTTGAATAATTTCAGACAATCTGTTGATGATTCAAGCAGCTATTTTTGGGCTTCACACCTCTTTTCTATTTCTCTTTTGCTTATTTGTTGAATTTCAGTGGAAATAGAAAAGCAGTCAATGGGAAATAGATCAATCTACAAACAGTTAAATGTTCATGTCTTTCACTTGCATAATCTTATTTTTAAGAAAGAGGAAACAATAAACATTTCTAAGCAACAATAGTAAAAAGGATTTTTAAATGAAATTACCATAGCAATTGACTTCACAAGACTAAAGGGTCTAAGTAATAATGATAACAACAGCAACAAAAAAAACAACATTAATTTACTTGGTTATTTTCTTTCTAATATAAAAGTTGAATTTCCTATGGATTTTCATATGTGAGTTACCATTTTGTAGGCATAGAACCTCTTTGTCACATAAACTGAAACAGATACAGAAACACAGTAGGATTTTTTTCATAGGTATCTGGTGAAAAAATATGTTAAAAATTACAACTCTGAGATAAATGCAATGAAATCTTATGCCCTACTGCAATGATTAATACATCATTACTCTTTCTGTATAACAGAATGAAACATAATAGAAAGTAAAATCTCTTTTAAAGGACTATCATTTAACAAACAATAGTGTAAATTTGGTGCAAAATATTATCTACCTATTATACTGGATTTTATTTGTACTTCCCTACAACTCCCTGTTGTGTCTGCATATTTTCAGGAACATATGGTATGCTTTAACCTTGACATGCATTATGAAGTTCATTCGTACAGTTTTGCATTTTTTTTCCTTGCATTTTCCTAGGTCACAGTTTTTAGGCCTCTATATCTTGCAGTCAAACCAATTGAGAGCATTTTATCAGGAAATTACTTTATTGGATTGGTCTGATTCTCAGATTGGTCTGATCAGAAGCTGTAAAATAAGCATTTTTTCCTTAACATTACACATTTCACTCTGTGAAAGCTTTGGGGCTCATTCCTGTGATTCTTATACATGAAAGTATTCTCCAGCCCTACATTTACTTTAGAAATAGTGTCACACAGAAGTTAGGAGAATCAGGCTCAGCTATGGTTCAACAGTCAGTATGAAAATGAATCATGGGGTGTGTGTTTGTTACCTATGGTGGAAGTACACTCAGTTCTGAAAACAAAGCTTGTTAGTGAATCAGTTCACTCTTTATGCTGGAGTCCCTCTTGCTTTTGCAGCAACTGAAAAAAAAAAAAGAAAGAAAATGAATCATGTTTTGCTAGATTAAATCAAACTAGTCCAGGATGCTGTTTGAGCAGCAGCCAAAAACAGCCACTCCAGAAGTACAAGAGGCTCTGCCCTTGGCAAGTGTGAGTTAACATAATCTGTAGATTATTTGGTTGTTTAATTTGTGATTGATTTTAAGTCATGACCAAAATAAACTTTCTCTGAAGTGATAATTGTTCTCAGGTGCTAAGATTAAAGTCTGGATTCCAGTGCCTATGTCTAGACTTGTTTATTCTTTTTCTCTCCTCTCCCCTCCTCTCCTCTCTCCTCCCTTCCCCTCCCCTCCCCTCCCCTCCCCTTCCTATCCTCTCCTCTCTTCTCCTCTCTTCCCCTGGTGAATCTTGTCTGCTTGGCTACAAGTAGTCAGGTTGCAACAGGAAAAGTAGAGCTTCGTTCTCATTTCCATTTTCTCTCTTTTCTACAAGGTGATAGTAAGTGAAATTTCATGGGAACTGGGACAAGCAGTATGCAAATCTCTGTTCTAGACTGAGACTAACAATCAGATAGAAAGATGAGGATGATCCCACAAATTCTGATCTTTCCTGCTTTTTCCTTCTGAGAAAGAAAATGTGGTCACTGTGGGCTGAACTCAATGAAGTCAGCAATCACCAAGCATGATCTGAGCATATTTATTACATCATGAGGAAAACCAATGTTGTTAGAGTCACTGGATCACAGCAGGACTTCATCATGGGAGATGTGCTCAGCTTGTCAAAAAAAGGGACTCCTAGGTATGATTAGGGACCCAAAATTATGCACCCAGCATTCCTCTTGGTGCTAATGTAGAAGGCTTGTAGTGCCTCTAATTTTAGACTGCTGCTGAAACATGACCTTTTTATACTTGTTTTCTTGGACATGCATGCTTATTTTGTTGAGTCTCACTGAGTCACACCATAGACATTAAGCCTGGTACTGAAAAACTGACAGTAACTGTGTTCTAATATTTTTGTCTTTTGATGGCTTTGTAAAAATTCATATAAAACTGACATTGTGGATGAATAAGTAGGTATTATGTGAAATTTAATAGAAAATTATGCTCAGAATAACTGTTGAAAAAACCCTGTAAAGGTAAATTTACAAAGCATGCACTTGGCTATAATCATGGACATTTTTAATGAATGTAATTGTGAGATTTCCAGAACCCTGCAGGGAAGTGTACATGTTTGTAATAAAAAAGCCTCAAGCTGTTAAAAGTGATAGAAATCTGTAATGTCAAGAAAGTTCAGTTTGCACTAGATTTCTGGGTTTAAAAACAGGATGGAAAACATATTGGTATCTCTCTCTCCTGAAGAAAACTGAAATGTATCTAGCACAAGGAGTCCAGCAGTTGGAAGGAAGTATGAATAAGGTTGGCACAAAATATTGTTCCATTAGTAAGTGATTACATATCTGTCTCTAATTAGTATCATGGCATATAATTTGTGCTCTGCATTCTTCATTTCATAAAAAGTCACATCTTCAGCCTATCACATATTTGCTAAATAATTTCTTTTAACTGGAAAACTAAATAGATTTATTATTCTTTAAATACCACTTAAAGTTAGGTGAAGGCTTAGAATGAGGATGGCTTCCTTAACAAGCTTAGCTGAGCCATGTGGGACAACAAAGCCCGAAGAGTCAGAACCTACAGCTATTGAAATCTGGATTTTAAAAAGATAGGATTAATTGTAAAGCTGTTGTTATTTGCATTGAGATTTTACAGTTCTTATATTTAAGAGGGCTTTTAAGTCTCTGTTTTTTACTGTATATCCTCTTATGCCAAGTCAATCAGAATTCAGGCTTGAGTTTTAGCTATTTAATTATTGCTATAAAACCTTAATTTTGACACTACTTATCTTTTAAAGTAAATACAGAATAGTAATAACATTTTACTGAACTGAATGATCTGACAAGGCATTGCAGTTGTACTACAATGGAAGAAAAATGGTTTTGCTAGGAGTCATAGTTAGACCTTGGTATAAAGGCAGCATTAATGATGGACAAGAACTGTTGCTAGACTCAACTGCTCTTGTAGCTATTCAGAAACCACAGCTTGTAAAATCACTGCAGAAATAAATATGTAAGAGTTAAACCTGATCAAGTGCCTGCTTCTATTCATTTCTAAAGGATTCTTCCTTTTGGAAAGATGATTCAACAATAACACCAGTAAAAATATATTCTAGTCAGATTTTTAAACCTTAGTGAAAGTATTCAATCATATTCCATAAATACCTAAAGAACATATCTGTCCTAGTTAAACATTAAACAATCAAACATGTCTTTTTAATTGTAGGAAATTTTCTGTCAATTGCAAATAGGAAGCTTTTAAAACTTTGAATTGTGGCATTAATCCCGGTGCACACATTTTGCCAGTAGAAAATGCAAAGCCTGAATTGAATCAGAACTAAGCCAAATTGCATTGCCTTGCAGTTGCCATGGCTAGGAGCATGCACACAAGTTACTGATACAACTCATCTGACAGTTGTTGTGCCATGATGACTTTATTGTGTGTTAGAGTCTCTGGAGGTCTCAGCTCATTGAAGTTTCAATACTTCAGTGGATAGGTATGATAAGCAAAGCAGAGCCAAAGAAGCGCATTGAGGTTTCTTTGTCAAAGGAGCACTTTGCAGAATTGCCATTCAAGATACGTGTATGCTGCACCCAGTGCAACTGGACCTTGGTATCTGTCAGTGTTACACTGTATTAGTGTTAAATAATACGAATTTATACGAACTTTGCTAGTCTCATCTCGTGGTGCTTCTGTTCTCTATATTTAAACCTGTCATCCTGTCATCTAGGACTGGTTTAGGTCACTTGGATTCGCTTGTCTCCTTTATAAACTGGTGAGCAGAAATCTGCTAGTGCACCATGAAAGCTTAAACTTCTGGAAGGAAATTTTCTAAATGGTCTTGAAAAAAAGGGATTAAAAAATGGATGATTATGAATGCACAAAACAAGTAGCCTCCCAGTGCAGTCCCCAGCTTCCTTCCTCTCCTAAATTCTTGTTAGGCTCATATGCACAATACTCCGCTGTGACAGTCGCGTTGTCTCGCAGTGGTCTACTAGAGGCTTTTGCTTTCTGTAGCTTGTAAAATATAAGAATAGATCTGTAATAAAACATTACCCAGTTTTTAAATACAGTAAAATAATAAAATGAAAAAAAAAACAAAACAAAAAAAACCCCCACAAAAATCTGGAAGGGAAGACTGCTTTCCTACAATGCTCTAAACCTGTAAATACCAGTTGGATTAGAGATGCTGCTGTGTGTTCAGAAGATGGCACTGATTTCAGTAGTTGGCTCTGCAGGCAGTTATCTGATCTGTGCAGGTCACAGAGTATCCACTAAGGGAATTCCCTGCAGAGGAGCAGAGAGAATACAGATAAACTTTCCATAGGTAATTTGGTTATATCATGTCATCCGGAGTCTGATGGAGATGGATCTGGTCTGGAAGATTTTGTAAGAGGAGACATCCATGCTAAGTATATAGTTTAAAATTTAACATTTTGTACTTGCTAATTTTAGTTGCCAAGTTACCAAGATGCATCTGAGAGACATATAGCATTAATTATTAATTATTGTTGTTGTTGATAAAAATAACCCTATCATTAAGGCTCTGGGAGTATTTCCAACATCAACAAATTTCAATTTGATTTATTAACTGATATAAACATTTTTATTTTATTTTTCCCTCCAGC